ACACACTCAGATAATCACTTGGGAGACTCACCTGCACACCCCTGGGAGATTGGAGAGGATCACCGTGGATTTTTATATTTTGCTTTGTGACTGTTCTGAGCACTGTAAATAAACGCACTGTTTACTTCGCATCCAGAGCTCCGCGACTGAGTCTGTATTTCCCCTATTACCCGTGCACACCACCTCAACCTTTTCATATTCCTAAACCTATATGTTTTGCGTTCGTGAAACAAAATTGAACCGTTTCCATATTAAGTAATTTGAGCTCTTGAAATGTTTTAGTTCTCTTAATTCTGCCAGTTTATCTCAACACTTATTCAATGACTTTTATTCAACTGCTACTTGGTCACTCAAATTTTACCTGTTCACTTGCCTAGAGTTCAACAAAGTCTAGATCCCAGTTATCATGAAACTTGAACGGGTGTACGATGATTTCCTTACAGTAATTTAGAATCATCACTCAACCTAGCTCTACTACTGGCACTGCCTGACTTTTCTCACCCTGGAAACCAGAATTTAGTACAGATCTTTAATACCTCAGGCAATCATGTTCAAGGGCTGGCCCCCCTTTCTCTTCTTTTTTGTCCGTGTGTTCCTCCTTTTATTAACTCTCCATCACAATGATGTGGCGCTCTGAAATAAGACTCACACTGTTAATTCATCGTTTCCACTCTGCACCACTGCTCAGGCTGTTTTCTTTTCTTTTTAGTGTACAGTAAACAATTGAGTCGAGGCCTTACGCCCCAGATATCTCGCACAGGCATCGTTTTCATAACCAAACCGCTCTGGACTCTGCTCCCCAGACCACACAAATGCCCTCTGGGCTTATTATTATAGCAGATTCTGTATTTGACTTTGTTGTGTGCAGCATTGAGCCTTTCTCAGTAAAGCATTCTTCATTGCAGCAGCCGGAGCATTATGTGTCACTTCTTAGTGAATTAAATCAACATTTTGATTTTGGTACATGGGTGTGTATCAGTTTTCACTCCCTCAACGAGTGCATAAGTGTTCATGTGTGTGTTTCTCTTCATTCTAAGTCGGCGTATGCAGAAGTGTGTGTTTGTGTACTGGTGTATGTTTGTTCTCCCTACATGGACTTCAAATGCTACTTTTAGAGAAAAACAAGTGTGTATTACATTGTACATTTTGTGAAAGTGTATCTATCAGAAAAACTGTCCTCAGACGACCCTCCTATTATTACTAAGTGTGAATGTAAACGTGCATGTGTTATACAAGTGCGTGCATGTGGTTACAGGCCGGCGTACGTGCAGAACTGAACGCAGACAGGCCAAGTACTGATCATCTGTGTGCATTAATATTTGGTCAAAGTAACCTAGATGTGATTCAAAGATTATTCTGTCAACTGATTCAACAATGGTAAATGATTAATCAATGATAGCTGATTATAAGAATACAAAATAAAATATCTCCTGGTCACACAGTATATGTATGTGTGTGCGTGTCCATAGTTCAGCTGAGACCGCGTCCTTCGCCCTGCCAGGCCCTGCCAGTGTGCACTATGTGCTTCAAATATTGTGTGTAGTTTTTGTTTTATACAGTTGTCAGCCAGGCATCTAACTATGAAAAAATTACACTCCAAAAGACCCCGAGCTTCTGAAAAAACAACCCGGGCTTAAGCCCAGTAAGCCACCCCGCCACTGGTTAGCACATGTGATGACTTTGACTTCAGAAGGTAAAACTTGTTCAAAATCTGTGCTTGAATCACATCTTGTTTATTTAAAATCCATTTTATACTAGTTTACACCATAGTTAGGTACGCTTCGAAGGCTACTCTTTAAATCTCCTGTTTCTGATAATTAATACCAAACTTTTTAATACAAGGCAAGTTTAATTACTCTCTCTTAGGCCAAAAGACAAAATGGCTTGTTGACCACTTTATCCTTTTGACAGTTACGTCTGTGATAGTTACAACTTAGTGACACATTGTGGAGGCCATTGAAATAATAAATTCTCTCCGTCTCTCTCTTCTCTCTGGTGTGAAGACCCAAAGGTACTGGATGTTTGTTGTGATATACTACATTAGATCAGGTTCACGGATCCTGATAATGACAGTGATACATGGGAAAACATCCCAAAAGTCCTTCATAGTAGCTACTGTGAGATAATTAGTTGTTTAGAGACTGGCTGTAGTCAGGCCACTCCTCTGAGGCTTGGCCTGTTGTTTTACACAGTGCAGGTGGGATGCAAACTCACTAATGATACTCATTACAGTAACCTCATATCACCTTAATCAACTTAATTTCTGTCACCTAATCCTGAAGTAAAATTGCATAAACATACAGTTGGAACTTACTTTTTTCTTCTAAGACCACACACACACACACACACACACACACACACACACACACACACAGCTACACTCCCACACACACACAATCACACACAATATAACCT